GAGGAGGAGGAAACACCATTATTATCAAACACACATACACGCAAACAGTAGCAGCACTATGATAGCTGAACTGACCTAGGACATGTAAAACGACTTAATCACCATTTAATGTCACCCACTTCTGCCCCTGGGGATGCCATTAGGCGGCTGAATTTAAAAGAGATGGTGCTTTTCAGCTTTTTTTCAATTTTAGATTTTCTCAAAAGAAAAGCTTTAAAGTGACATCGAAACTGGTTCCGCAGTCACAAAGGCACTAGTCACCTTGTCAAATATGAGTTAAAGGCTAAAGTGTCTGATTGAGATCTGAAAATGATGGAGAGGAGGAAGATATTCTGTTTTCTGCATTACAAGACTTAATTTAATTAAAAGTGCCTTATAAAAAAAATACAAAATAAAGAGATGGCGCAGATCAAGGCACCTTCTTCCCCTCCATCTCCTCTGCAATCTCGTTCTTGTCCTCTCTATCTCTTCCCCTCTCTCTTCAGGCTCCCGCTATTCTACCACATAATTCCAAAAGCACATTCTTGTGCCCCAAATGAATGCACTTTTGACGTCTCAACCTAACCAAGCTGAAGTTCAAATGGTTGAAAATTAATTCACCTCAACAGTAGTAATTGAGTTCTTCTTCTTTCCCCTCCTTTTTTCTTATTGATTCATTGCTCCTCTTATTAAAAGGAAATTGAAAAGAGGGGAGTCGCATTAAAATACACCTGTATTTACTTACCAAGGCAAGAACACGTCCGAAAGATAAGGGATAACATGTAGTGAAACATGGAGCTGCCGCCGCCTTCTTATGTGACTGTTTCACTTTAGAGTAAAAAAGGGAAAAAATTAGGGGAAACACATAGGATTTCAGTTTTAAAATGCCTCAAACGTAAATTGATTCAACTTTTTTGGTATTTTATTGTACTAGGGGTCGCTCAAGTCAAAACGGGACTACCAATTTTACAGCAATTTGACAAGCCAATGATTACGCGGCAATGGCGACACATCTGCACTGGGTCAGTCGGCATTCCGTTAATCAAGAAGGCGGATATAAATTTTGGCGTCTGTGTATACGACTCTCTCCCCGTGACTTTGAGTTACTGGGCTAGGGTACCTAAAGAGGGGGCCTCACCATTCATTTAGCGCTGGATCGGCAACAAAGGATCTCTGGTGAATTCACTTTTTGACTACTAATTTTAAAATTAGACAGAAAAACCATAGCTTTATCCTCGTCTTACCCTCATGCTTGCGGGCGGACAGGAGGAAGTAGGCTTCACTACGTGGGGCTGTCAAAAATGACTTTTTAAGGTTTGAATTGAGAGACTTACCTGCAGGGTGGACAAGGAACGAGGGAGGGGGTTCTTCCTCATTTCAGAAAGATCCTGTTCCTTTTCATGGAGATACCGCCGGTCTCCCACATTACTTCTGCTTGGAGCGTCACATGTATGTCAAATGACATCCCATTTTTCGTATCAGAAACTGGCGTCAAAATGCAAGCGATTCGGCAGCCAATGAGGTAGTTCTCTCCTCTTTTGTGCTGCTGTATTTGTCGAGAAGTTTGTAGCCCTCCATTGCACGAGTGCATTCTTGATTATCATATGTGACACTTTCTAACCTTTGCAGTTTTGTATATTTTTGCATTCCTTGGATCCTATGCATATTAAACTATATTGTACAATCATAATCTTTTATTGCCTTACTTATGCTGGAAGGCATTACTTGTTAACTAGCCCAGATTTAAATACACGTCTTATTCGATAGTCATGCTTTTCATGAAATTTTCCGTAATATGACTGAGAGAAAATTATTTTGCTGATTAGATGATGTTAACACTGGCTGTTTCGACCAGAAATTTTGTAATTTTTATTAGATGTCTTAAACTAGCTTAGTCTAGATTAAAAGAATGAAATTTGTTGCATGAAAGTTCTCGTTATGTATTTCCCCAGTGCTATAAATCTACTGTTCTGTAAAATCAATCATGTGCCAAAATTTTCTTTATGGACTGCCACTTTTTACCTTTTACCTTTACATTTACTTAGTGTCTTCCAGCCGCCAAGGAATTGCCGTGATGTTTCCTGGCTGTGTAAAAACAATTCTAATGACTTTGTTGAAATGCTTTGCTTTCATCGTTTTCAAAGGTGTGGGCGCAGATTTACCTAATGTGGCGACGAACGTCAAGAAGCCAGAGACCGGTGCTATCCACCCCATTGGTTAGACAGTGACCTCTGCGGAGAGAAAAGGTATCATCTGCACAACGAATACATGGCATAGGAGAGAGGTCTAATGAAACAGACCTGTCTTATCTGCACCAACTGGAAATTCAAGTTTCACAGATTGATACAAACCTGAAAAAATTTCCAGTCCCATGTTGACATAAAAAGTACCGCCAACAATAAATTCGCTATAATCATTCACTGTTGTCTTCGCAAATAATTGCAGATTATTTCAAATTGCTTTAAGTTTTCGGGCAAGAAAATTCCCAAGTGCAAATATTCTGGTCCTGATCATTCTGCTTGATCAGCACCGTGAAAAAAACTATACTTTCTTGCATTTGCATGGATGTGACGATGAGGGTTGTTGACTAATTTATAAAAAAATCAAGAAAGCCTGTGTGGTTTTAATCCGCTGGAACTGGTAGAAATTTGGACGTTGCATTCTAGTGCCCTTTCTATGCGTTGTCAGCGCGGCTCTTGCACCTTAAGGCCCTGATATTAAGAAATCGCATTTAAGTCTCGTGGCTGCTGTTGAAGCTTTCCTGCTGACCTGAGCCAATGGTTGGCGTTGTAATTGACGAACACTCAAGCCTTGGTAGACTGACCGTTAGATACACTTGTATAAGTCCAGCCAACTGAGAAAAGGGTCTGGAGTCTGTGCTCAAGCAGATCGAATGGCTGATAATTGGGTCTTTTATGGTGTGAGACTTGCTTTGGCGTAAAGATCCTGTTAGCAAAACAAGTTTAAGGTAATGTTTCTTGGCCATCAACGACGTTAGGCCTTTTGTAACTGTCTTACCAACCTATACTGAAAATATGCCGAAAAAGTTTCCTAGCCCTTTTCTCGCCTTTACTTGACTAAGCTACCTGCAAAATTTCGTGTTTCTGAGTGCAGAGGTACAAAGGCATGACAAATAATCATCATTATATTAGTCATATGCCTAAGCACAGGCTTGCCATCAGTTTAGACATCACCTGATTCAAGGGCAGATTTGGAGGTATTTGATTCATCTTCTCTTGAATAGCGCAGAGATTTTGCATTATTTTGGAAAAAGAGGTTAGGGATTTTTACAAACATTATTGGGCAATTAGGTCAACAGATTTGGGTTTTCGGCAAGGACTGCCATCCAGAGATATTGCAAATAATCTCGTAAGTGCAGCGAGATGGGACTTGCCAAAACATCATCCAGCGACTTCCATATTTTTACTGCAATGCTTAGACACTCATTTAGTAAATGCTCAAAATAAGTAGAATTAATAGCATTTGTTACACGTTAAGAGCACAGAAAACACTAGAGGCGAGCTTGCACACCGTCATCTAGCTCCTCCAAATCCAAGAGAGTTAGAGACCTCTTCACAAACTACAGTGCACGCAAAACGCGCAATTCCTGACAAATTCAACCAAAACACTGAGGTCCTAAAAGTATAAAACCCTTATATAAATATAACTCCTTTTGTTGTGCTATGTTGCTGTACCAATTGGCTTATTTTTCTACTAAAATTGAACTATGAACAGCTTTTGCTAGATTATACTAATATCCGTTTAGTTATTTAGCCAAATGCCATTAAATTAATTTCTCGAAAAAAATGCAGGCCTTTTTTATTTTACTTAACAAACAGTGATTACCCTTAATTTCCGACTAAAAGACCTATTCTGAGGCATATAAGACAGAACTGGTGTAGTGACTTAAATCAGTAATGACTCTGCAAAAAGACCGTAACAGTATGAAGCACCATTCTCAACTAACATAGCTGGCTTATGAAAAAGCACAGGCTTAAGCTTTAGCCATCCAAATGATCAATGATGAATTATGCATGGCAGTGCCGGTCTTAACATAATTATTTTGAGCTATCATTCCTCCTATTAAATGATGATCCAACCCGGGTTGAAAATATGTCTACACCACCTTGAAAAGTCTCTCTCCTAAATCCCATCAGAAAGCCAATGCAAAATCGTTAAGTAACCCAAGAAATAGACTTATTGCATATCTAAAAGTACAGACGTCAGGAATGAATCTAAAACTTGGGTACTTAAGTTTTGTAAATCGACATTAAAGTAGCAGTGTTTCGATGGATGAATGTATACAGGGTGGATGTGTGATCGATGGATGGAAGGGTAACGAGAACTGCATAGATGTTTTTGAAGACGTATTATAAAGAAGGTATGACTATTCCCAAAGTGAAATAAAAATTGACGAGTTTGTTTGTGCTTGTAGATTAACGAAGGAATGGAATTGAGGAAGAACATTGTTATGTGCGTTGGAATAATCGGGAAGGAATGGATGAAAAGTGTGAGGAAGAACAGAAAATTGGAAAGGGAGAAAGAGGCAGGAGGGACGTAGCACCTTAGAACGACCCAGGGTGTCAACGTATTGCAAGTTATATTGTGATTGCAGATGGACTACTGATATTCCTCGTATTAGGCTCCTGGGCAATAATAGGTTGTTAATCTCCGACTGGAGGTTGAAGTGCAAAATGACTACTGGTTTCCAAGACAGAGATTAGTAATTATTGGAAGAAGAGATGTGTAGAACTGAGACAGATATACAAACAGGTTCATATTGCTTAATATTTGGTGCTCAAGAAAGTAAAAGTGAAACTTGTGATGTGTTTTTTAAGTTCACAGTAAACAGTAAGCAGATGTTGAATTCTAATGCAATTTTTTTAACTTGCTTTGTTATTCTTGCCTCGTAAAGCATTCCATTCCATTCCATTCCAAAACTTGCCTCTGCTACTCGAGCTCACTTCGTGCCATCATTACCCATAAAATCTCACAAGATATAAAGAGGCTAAAGTGAGCTAGGGATTATTCCACCCCCTGCAAAAACCTCCACCACTTTAAGGTACCACAACAATACATGACTTCAAATAGCTCCTCTTGATCATTACCAATGCACTGCATATAGCCTAACACTTGAGTGAGCTAAATTTTAAACTGGTGAAAACACCCAGTAGATAATCATGACTGCATTCTATGCGAAGTGCAACAGGCTATGCAGTTGTGACTTTAAGTGTCCCATCGACTACTCGGTCTATCGAGGACTGTATGTATAGGAAGATACAAGTCAGGACAAACAACCTTTTGTTTAAGAAGGGATTAGTTTATCCACTAGATAGTAAGTTTTTAAACCTCCTCAGCCTCCAGACAGATCGGCACGCGCAAACTATTGCAACACATGAGCAGTGGTTGGCTTATTCAAAATGCTCAAGGAAGCTCAGCATAAAACGATGAGAAAGTGCTGATATTTCTGTCATATGATCCCCAAAATCACCCCTCTTCTCCCCAAAATACAACCTATCCACTGGGAACAAAGAGGTCGATACTGCTGCAAAAAGTAGTCATTATTATCGTTGGAAAGTCTAAAGTGTAGAAACAAATTTCTCTTGAATGCTCCAGATTGCCGGGCCGAA